AGGATGCTTGCTTGAATGGGATTGATTTCCAGAATTTACATTAGCCATTTTTAGATCACATAAAATTTAAAATGCAACTTCATTCACTTGAATAATATTCATCAATACTTTAAAATTTTCTTATGTTTCGGATAGATTTCCAACGATGGCAGCAATGAGAAGACGTTCAACACCTGTGTCTTTAGCAATTGAATCTGTATTTTTTGTTGTTGAGAACTCCTTGTTTTGTCACTCTTGTCAGTTACCTTAATAACAGGCAAGCTCATTTTCAAAAATGATTCTTCATCATCAATTGCAAGTTTGAAAAAATGGTTGTAGCTGTTATCTCTGTCCAGCAGCACTTTGTTAGTTAAGTCCTCAAATTTGTTGCAGTGAACAACATGTTTTTATTATTCAGCCTCTCTTTTTGTAGTTGCAAAGCTGACAACTGAATGCTGAAAGAATCCTTGCAATATCTTTCCGGCAGCGTTAAATTTTTGGTTAAAATCCTTTTTAACCAGTCGAGTTTAACAACATTTGAGCTGCAAGTATATGGCTTCTGATTTTAGTACAGATTATTGGACTAATAAAATATAATAAGATATAGTATAAGCAGCTGTTAGAAATAACTTTCAAATTGGCATTTAATAATATGTAATAAAATTTAAAAAAATAAAAAGTATAAATGTAAATAAAAATTTTCACTGCGTAATATCGTTGAGTTTTAAATATTTAAAAAAATGTGCAATTACCTGGTATTACTGGAAATAATCTTTCTCCTTTTGCTTGGCTAAACAATACTTTTTTCTCTCGGAGAAAAAACTTTTCCCTTTAACAATGCAGATACAATTTGCTCTGCTCCAACTTGATCTTCCTTGAACAAATCATCCAAGTTTTGGTATCTTGTTACGATTGTACAGGAACGATGAGGGCTTCGAGCATGTACGCATTGTTTGTCATAGACAAACAATGCGTACATCTTTTTTCTGTTGATGGAAAAGAAGTATTTATAAAGTTTTAGGTTTGGAATATATGCTATTTTTAAGATTTATATTAAATAGTCTTAAAGGATGCTTTTCACTAAGTTTAAGCTTTTCAATTTACCAAATAGGACAACCACATGCATTAGACGTTCGTGTCAAAGGCTTGAAAACTATCGTAGAGAAATCGTAGAGAAGAGGTAATGAACACGTTGTATAACCAGCAGAGGCAATTCTACAAAGGGAGGGGGGGTGAATTTTTAAAAAGTATAAAAAAAAACAACAAAGGTCCTCAAAACTAATATTTACCCGACTAAATTGTATCAAATACCCGACTAACCAACTAAACTGTTAAACTAAATGTAAATTGTTTAATTTTATTTTTACTTTAAATGTTAAACTTATCATATAAGTTTTGAATCAACCTTAAACGTAAAAATAAAAGCTCAAGTGTCATATATTACCAAGAATGGTTTATGGAATAAATCAAAAAGTGACCAGTTTTTCCGAATTTTTATTAATTACCAAAATCTGCAATCAATTGTTTGTTTTTATTTGCACATTAGGTAAATCCTCAATACTCAAATTATTACAATAAAATAATATACTAAAGTTAATTTTTAAGTTTAAGAAAATAGTATTTGGCAGCAAAATTTACGCCATTTTTACAAAATCATCCCAATATACTTGCCTTCATGAACCCCTTCATGAAATCTTCAAAATTAATTTTTTTCAGAAAAATAAATTACGCTATCCTAAAATAAATCAATATTCCAAAAGAGCAGCTGTAGCGCAGTGGTTAGCGCGCTTGCTTCAGAAGCTAGAGATCCGTAATTTTTAAGCTTTATCAAATTAAATGATGCAATTTTATCAACTTTTTGGGTTTTAAAGGGTTTTAAATAACAACAAATAAATCTTTTTATGATAAAGTTATGCAATTTGATTTCTCATTTTTTATTTAAGAAAGGGAATTGTTGATAAAGAAAAAATGAAAGTTTTTTATGTGAAAAAGAAACTACGAATAGAGACATTTTGAAATTAAGAAAGTTGTACTTGGCGCATCAAAAACGTAGAGCGCATCAAAAACGTAGTTTATCAAAGATTTTACATTGTACTCTGAAGGTCTAATTAATATTCCCTCAATTGATAATTAATAGCTGAAAGTTCGCAGCTGTGTTTGAGAAGTGAGATAAAAGTTGAATATTATCGCTGTTTTGCTAAACATTTTTTTTTAAATGACAACATTGAACAGCTGCAAAGAAGTGTCAGGTGGTCTAAAAAAAATCTTTCAAGAATATGAAAATATGGTCTGTTTGTAACAGCCTTACATAATCCGAACTTTTTACATCAGATTTTTACAAATTTGGATTAATGTCACTTTTTGATTATTCCAAATCAATGAGTGGCGTAAAAATACAAGAATTCGTTTTAACCCCGTCTATAGTAAATTTCACTTCCGAAAGATTTATGCGGTTTTTTCAAAAAAAAAAAAAAAAATCACGCGGCCGAAAAATTTAACAATTTATTAAAAAATAAAGTAATTTTTATTAAAATTTTATAATATAAAATTTAATATAATATATAATATACTACAAAATATAATAAATATAAAAAAATGTAAAAAAAAAGATGATATTATCATCTTCTTCAGGAATTTTCTACAACATAATTGAAAAATATTAGCAAAATTTTTATTCAATAATTAATTGATAGCAAAAGAAAAAATATTGTCAAAAATATTTTATTTTATTCTCTTTTTCATTATATCCTCAATTTCATTCATCTATTCTTTATTTTTTTATTTACTCTACCCATTAAGCACGATTAAAGAGAAGTTTAAATAATTTATAGAAGAAAAAGTTTCGAATCATAATTACCGATCAGGTAAATTTGATGAGGTGGTAGCCACCTATGGCCCTCATGTGACTGTATTACATATACCACTTAAGTACCATAAATACCATAACCATTCATGCTCATACCTACGCTATCTCATATATAGTAAAGTTATGATAAAGTTATTCCACAAAGTTAAATATAACATCTTTTGTGAAGATGTTATATTTAACTTTGTGGAATAACTTTACCAAAATGTCAACAAAAAATTAAAAATTATCTTATAAGAGATTTTTTGAACTGAAAATGAATAAACTTTAAGAAAATATGATAATATAAGAAACCACGACATGATAATTGAAAACTAAGGTTCCGTGCTGATTTTTTAATACGGCAGATCAAACATCATCTAAAAAAAATAGCTTTCACGTTTATGAAGAAGGCACAAAATGTAAAGATTATTTTAAATTTTTTTATTTAAGCTCGCTTTTTTTGAGACCAAATTTAATATACTTTTTTGATAATATGACGGACCTATCTAATCTATCTTCCAGGGCTAGGTAGCACCTCTAACGATATTTTAAAAAAACTAAAATTTTAATTATTTATTTGTTTACTAAGCAAAACATATAAAGGGTGTGAAAAAACTTTTCAAAAAGACAATTTTTATTTATTTTTTTAATTAAAACACATTAATAAAACACATTAGTAAAAGTTTTACTTTATAGGACTAAAAGTTAAATAAAAAATTAATTATAAATAACTGTGGTTTATTTATATTTTTATTCATAGACTTGTCTGTCTTATTTTAACAAAAGTAGAATTCATCAATAGAAATTTTTTGATTTAAGTCTACTAATCCTTGAATTTTTTAAACGTTTCTTATGTGAAAAAAATTGGTTTCTTATCACAGGGGCGGATCTAGCATTTTTTGGTCTTTGAGATAGCTAACTTACAGACATGGAGCAAACTCCAAACACTTATATGTTTATACTTATGTCCAAAAGGGATACTTTGCAAAAAAAAAAAAAAATGCAATAATTTGAGCCTGGAAACAAAAAATTCCGAAATCCTATCCGCAACGCCTATTTTATCTCTTTAAAGTAGTAAATCATTTATATATATATATATATATATATATATATATATATATATATATATATATATATATATATATATATATATATATATATATAAACATATATATATATATATATATATATATATATATATATATATATATATATATAAAACATATATATATATATATATATATATATACAGGGGCGGATCCAGCATTTTTTGTTGTTTGAGATAGCTAACTTCCAGACATGGAGCAAACTCCAAACATTTATATGTTTATACTCATATCAAATAAGGATTGTTTGCAAAAAATTGCGATGATTGGAGCCTGGGAACAAAAAAACCCCACAATTTGAGACGTACCTGCCCCAAACGTGAGAGCAACAAGTTGATGAAATATTTTTTGTATTATTCTCAACAAGACTTATATTTATTCATAAATTTTAAATTTCATTGTAAAATATTTTAGCGTTCAAAAATTATGACCATGTAAAGTTTGCATCCCCCTCAATTCGAGGGGGTTAAAATTTCCATATGGTCATAATTTTTGAGCGCTAAAATATTTTACAATGGAATTTAAAATTTATTGATAAATATAAGTCTTGTTGAGAATAGTACAAAAAATATTTTATCAACTTGCTGCTCTCACGTTTGGGGCAGGTACGTCTCAAATTGTGGGGTTTTTTTGTTCCCAGGCTCCAATCATCGCAATTTTTTGCAAACAATCCTTATTTGATATAAGTATAAACATATAAATGTTTGGAGTTCGCTCCATGTCTGGAAGTTAGCTATCTCAAACACCAAAAAATGCTGGATCCGCCCCTGATATATATATATATATATATATATATATATATATATATATATATATATATATATATATATATATATATATAATGGAAACGGAAATGGAAAATATATATATATAAACATATATATATATATATATATATATATATATATATATATATATATATATATATATATATATATATATATATATATATATATATATATATATATATATATATATATATATATATATATATATATATATATATATATATATATATATATATATATAAAACATATATATATATATATATATATATATATATATATATATATATATATATATATATATATATAATGGAATTTTCACGTTTGGGGAAGTGGGAGAAACTTTGGGGCTTTTATTTTCCCAGGCTCCATTTTTTGCAAAGCACTCTTATTTAACATAATTATAAACATATAAATGTTTGGAGATCTAAGTCTGGAAAGTAGGTATTTAAAAGTCTAAAAAGTGCTGGTCCCTTTTTTATCAAGGTACTTATACAGTTTTTTTAAATGATTATAAATCGTAACGCGATAGTTATTTGCGTAGAGAAAATAAAAATACGAATTTGTTTGTATTTAGGTGAAAACTTACCTGTTGTAATTGTGTGGTTTTAATTTACCTGCGTCGTTTAGTTAAACTTAATTTATTTAAAACGTATTTGTAAGTTATTGCATTTGCTATTTCCGCAAGTGCGTTTTAATAATTTATTTTTAAATATTAGTTTTAATCACAAATCCAAACCTCAACTTCTACCTGTTTGAAACTTAAATCTTACACTCTTTGTAAATGATTTAAAGAATATTTGATACAAAATGTTAAACAATGTACAATAATTTTGTAATCTTATACCTGTTAAATTGATAAATGAGAAGACTGAGAAGAACTTCAAAAAATAATTTAAATGTGTTGGTAATGATTCCGCCAGTAAAAGGCACTTTGTATTAAAAAATTGTTTTCTTATCAACGTCGTACTTATACAATGTTTTCGTTTAAATGATTACAAATCGTAATGTGATAGTTGTTTACATAAGGAAAGTAAAAACTTAAATAATTGATTAATGCTTTTTTACTTTGATTCCTAATAGCTAAATATAAATAATAAATGCAAAATTTATCATGTTGTTGCTACCAGTTATAAAACTGAAAGCTAAAAAAGTTGGAGATTATTATTCTCTAAAACTTTTGACAAATATTTTATTTCTCAAAGGCATTTTACGAGTTGATAAAATTTGTTTGTTTATATATGTAGAAGGTATTATATTTCGCAATTCTGTCAACTCCTTATATAAATTTATTAAATTGACTAAAATGATTTGGTAAACAGTCTGCATTCAATGACTTGTGCTTTGTTTAGCAGAGAACACTTTTGTATAAAAGCATTACCCGTAATAGATTTAAATGCAAGTTATCAATATCATCAAACTATTCAAACAATAAAAAATTGTGTTACTGGTATTATTTGCTACATGTGCACTGTTTAGTGTACATATTTCAGTAAACTCCTAAGGGATAAAGAAGCATAGATACACTAGAGTAAGCTTTAGGCAAGTGGTTATAAATGATTTTGAATAGATATATAGTTCAAAAGTAGCCAATAAAAAAGAAGAAATGGTTGAAATTAAATACGTTTGTGCAAATTTGTTTTTATTGAAAAATATGGGAGAATTGAAATATACATACTCATGTTTTTTTGTTTTATTTTGTTTTTAAGATGCTTTCAGAAGTCCTTACGGTCTTATCACAGAGCACCGCAAAAAAGCATTTAACTAGGTTCACGCCTCCTACCTTACCAATATTGCTTAATGAGCTAGAGCTGGCGGCGAGCCTCTGACCTCTCGGTTCAGAACTCTAACCACTGCACCAGGGTCGCACAAATTAGTTATGAAATTATTTTTATGGGAAAGCTAAATTTCAATAACTAATTAGTTATGGAATAATTTTTATAATATTTTTACTAATACAGCTTAGTAAAACTATGATTTTTTATTTAATTTCATATTTTATTAAACTTATTCTATACGGTTTAGTGCAGTTATTCGTTTTATATTTAGTTTGTACTTTTAGTTAAATTTACTC